GATATATCATAATCGTAATTCGTAAATAAAGGCAAAAACTCGTTAGTATAAGGAACTCGTTATTATATTTTTGTTTTTTCTGTTAAATGGGTCCCACAAGAGTGTTCTCCTCCTGGTATCCCACGTGGCCAAGTTGCTGTAACCTTCTCCTGGAATCAGCTGGTTCCATGTGCTCCGAGACCTGTCTCTCTTTCGTTTGACTACCTCCACTTCTCCCAATATATACTTCTCATTTAAAAAAAATATGAATCATATTTTACAATTTTGGGAAATTTTATGTAGACAAATGAAGCCTATATGAATAAGATTGCAGACTCATCTATTTCACTTAATCTAATCTTATAATTCGCAATTGTTATTTCTCTCTATGTAAGTACATCAAGAATAGCCTACACAATAGTTAGGTGGGTTTTTTTCTTTAAAAAAATACTATTTGATTATGAGAGCTATTTGTTATTGTTTGATTATGATAGGTTCTTTTATTAGTTTCGCCTTTAGTAATTTGCTAACTAAAACATCTTTTCAAAGAAAAAAATAATTTGCTAAGACAAACGAAAGTGTTTAATCGTGTGATAAAGGTGCTAATTTAATACCAAAGACCATAGCCCATTGAAACATTTCCGACCCGAATTTTAACCATCGGGCCTAAGTATTTATTACTAATAATTACAAAAGAATAATACTCTAATAAGGCCCATATTGAGGAATAATTGTCTTGAAGAAAACTAAATAAGTTAGTCGAGTAGATATATCTTTAGAAATTTCATTATCAGAAGATGACATATAAAACCAATACATAAATGAAATCGAATAATTGAATCATTAGTTAAAAAAACAGAAAAGAAAACACCATGATTAATTAATGAGATTCTGTAATACAAAAATCGTACATACGAAACCGTATATACGAGTATCAGTTTTGCAATTGAGATTGCCCATTACTAAAGCAACTATACGTACGCAAGTTATTATAGATCACTCACAAATTAAAACCATAGGTAGGTTCGACCAAAGTAACAAAAAATACTTGGCCAAACAACAAAAATA